TACATTAAAACAATATAAATACAGTAACGTATATTAAATACGACAGCACGGCTCAATGTTTTGACTACGCAAACTGCATGGATATATATAACTATATATAGCTATACGTAGAAATCGGTGTACTTACGCCGATTTGTCCGACATGATGGCTGTTTACTGGAGAAGAACCAAGATCAGTTAGGTCTGGCCGCAGGACGCAGGGATGAGACCTTCGGTCAGGAAGGCTAGGCCTTTTATAGCGGCATAGTAGGCGTACACCGCGGAGACGCGGGGACTATGGACCGACGAGTTCAAACAGAAAAAGTCGTACGAACGTCGAAGGCGGCTTGTTTGTTAGATATACCTGGCGTGTAAATACGCGCGGGACAGACCACTGCTGCAAGACGGAGGGGTGGTCGAAGCAACCGCCCCCCACACCCCCACACACTTACTATCAACCATGCCGTAAGATGAAATGAGGTCATTTGGTCGTGATTGGACTGGCGCCGTGTGTGTGTGAGCCATTATACCACCCAAAAACTTATTAATCAATACATTTTACTTGAAATATAGATGAGTATATATAATATTTTAGTATAATAGAAGACATTTTGCCTATATATATATATACAGTCTCTAGCCGTCGCAGGAGGAAGGAGCGAAGGGCTATAGTACTAGAGCTATACGTACTCGTACTCGTGTAACAGGGCTCCGTTAATATGTAGTAGTAGTTAATTAAAAAAATGTTCATTGGTAAAGTATGTAATGAGCCAACACCTGTGTAGGAATTTTTAGAATACAGGATGTGCGCACAAATGTAAACAAGCGCCCGCGTCGCCGATGATAATATCGCAAAGGGATAGGCCGTAATCACGAAGCGACGATGAAGGAAACCCACGATAAGCAGCTTAGCGTGGCGCGAATTTTTTCGGAATCGTGGCGCGATGCTGCGAGCGAAGTGAAGTATATGTAGATCAGATTTTACCATGCACACGTGCTGTCAGCCTGCCCGGCTCCAGTTTGAACGTATAAGAACGGCCGAAAAATATTATCTTGGCAGTCAACGGCGACCTACGTCGCAGCGCCATTTGCCCATACATTAGCATAGCTGGGAATTGTGGCGTGATGCTGTGAGCGAAGTGAAGCATGTAGATCACAGATTTTACCATGCACACGTGCTGTCAGCCTGCCCGGCTCCAGTTTGAACGTATAAGAACGACTCTCTCGCTCTCTCTCCCTCTCTCTATCTCTCTGCCTCTCGCTCGCTCTCCCCCTCTCTCTCTCCTTCTCTCTCCCTCTTTCTCTCTCTTTCTCTCTCTCTCTCTCTCTCTCTCTCTCTCTCTCTCTCTCACCACCGTTACCTGCAGCGTAATCTTCTTGTCTCCCTGAACGATCTCTGGCTTGCCGACGAACTCTGGGGTGATGTCACCGGACCCGTCAGGCGCTGCCAAAACAAGTGTGTGCGTACATCACACACGTGCACATATCACACAGCATCATCGATGAACAACCAATTAATCAATTCGAATCAAACGCATATGAAGTGTAGTATTCGCCACATACCCCCCTCCCCCAACGACAGTGGTGTCACCTACCGCCAATGCTCAGAGTGAAGTTGGCTGTCAGCTCTCCCAGCTCGTTCTTCGCCACGCACTTGTATTTGCCGGCATTCTCCTTCTTTGGTTCCTACGGGAGAGACAATAGCAACAGCGATGTAATAGAACACGCGGAATTCTCACACCACGAGTATCACTGCTCAGAACGTACGTACGTGCGATCACCCACGTGAGCCATCGTTTCTACTGCCCAACATCTTCCACCAGCCACCATCCTTATTGTTGCATTTTAACCTCTCAATCTACATGGTGTCTATGATCTCTAACGTGTTGGGACGCCAGCATCCGGCAGGTGAATCCCCCACACATCTATAATTCTATCTTGGCACATGTTAAGCTGTACTGGTTGGCATTCACTACGTACATATGCAACGTACGTAAATCACAGGGGCGGCAGAACGCATGTTAATATGCAGTTCAACCCGGGTTCATTATCCATTACATAGAACGAACACATGTCTACAAATGACGTTTTGGCGTTTCCTTGACTGCAGTCACACAGTGAAACCACTCCTACAGAGCGGACACGTGTCTATGAGGTACCCTTCTGTCGGTTCCTGAAAGTGGCCGTTATATAAAGGTTTCCCTGTACAGACCGGTCAGCTAGGGGTATGTAGAACTGGACTGCTTACATTTGCGCGTACTTACCATGATCACGAGTGTGTGCTCCCAGTAGGTCTCTCCCTTTTCCTTGTCCTTTTCCTTGTCCTTGTCGATCTTGACCTTCTTGTCCTTCTTCACCTCGTGCTCCCCGTGCAGCCACGTCACCTTGGGCTCTGGCTTGCCGGTGATAGCGCACACCATCACCATCCTCTCACTCTCGTCACGCATGACAGGATCCTTGAAGAACTTTGGTCTGCAACGGCAAAGAGGGGGAAATGTCGCGATTCAGTATTTCGCATTGCGTGAATGATATCTCATCGAGTCGATGTCACCTCCTCGATTCTTACTTCTATTTTATCGGCTCTCGGTTGTTGTTGTTGTTGTTGTTGTTGTTGTTGTTGTTGTTGTTGGTGGTGGTGGTGGTGGTGGTGGTAGTGGTCGTGTTGCAGTTGCTGCTGCTGCTGCTGTTGTTGTTGTTGTTGTTGTTGTTGTTGTTGTTGTTGTTGTTGTTGTTGTGTTGGAAAATCACGGCGATATATCGGCGATATTTATATCCTAGATTACGTAGATACATGTCACGTTCGCTTATTGTAATTGGCTTCGATTAGAAGCACCAGTCGCCGCGAGCACATTTGCAGATAGAGGACGAGGTGGCCGAGTGGTTAAGGCGATGGACTGCTAATCCATTGGGCTCTGCCCGCGTGGGTTCGAATCCCATCCTCGTCGCTACAAGGTTTTGCTTAACATCTCGCTCATTCGGGTCCAATTTAACACGGATTTATTGTGCGCATATATTGTAATATCCGTACGTCCGCGTATACGTACACGTACCGATAACCATCCGTACAGGCCGCGCGTGTAACGCCCTCGATCTATCGGCTACTGCTATATGAGATACATTCGAGTGATTTATTTTGGCGACTATCACCCCATCCCCCCCCCCTCTCTCTCTCCCGTACATGTTTTAACCTTTTAAACATCTAGGCGCGGTTAGCTAATCTAAATATGCGTTATCCGAAGGTAAATACACTTGATAACTTTGCGTGTCTACAGGACATTGAGAGTGGCTATCGGTGCGAGTTACTGCGGTATAGCTCACGAGGTAAATAGCGGTACTTTGCCAGTGGCGTGATTTTTTTTGTCGAAATTTATTATGGTAGATATTTATTTATAATTTATAAATGCGGCACTCTTTTAACAAAAATGAAATACGAATTCCGCTCTAATCTAATTTCGATTAATCATTCAATAATAAACACATCATATGCGTGTATCACGGTGGGAAACACCTTCAATGTCATTTCGACACGTTCGGCATGAAATTACACATTTAATAGTTTTCGTCATAATAACTCGTTGGTATCACGGACTTGTTATACGAGGCCTCTATACAGTCAATACGATTCTACTTATGTGTTACCCGCAGATTTGTCTGTATTGGCGAGTCCTCGACTGAAAGCCAGTATAGTTAATGAATATAATGCGACATTTCGCATCAAGAAAGAATTAATATTCTGACTTCTTACACAATCCATCATATTAACTATGATGCATGGTTTTAGCCAAATCAATCAAAAACACATCCACGATTCCATGATAGAGGAACGGACCAATCCGCTATTAATTATTTGCAGAGCGAGTTAATAATGTAAAACCTCTTTAAATATTCGTATAGCGTATTCCTACAGCATTTGTTTCACGACTACACCTCTCTGCCTCCAAATCATTTGCGAGACACGAACAAATCTAGATCGATCTAAATCTCTATAAATGTGTAGCATGCAAAATTTGCTAATAATCCTAGATTAAATTTTGACTTATCCTATATATTTGATAACAAGATCGGTACGAAAAAAGGCGCACGTTTAACGATTTTTCTATGCGAAATAATTTTTGGTTAAGTAATTTTTACACGATGTTTGGTTAGCTTATTGCTACCTACAATTACGCACGCGCGCCGACACGCACGCATAGCAGCATGACAAGAACAACACGGAGCCGCTGGTCTCGGCTGGCACCACCACTGCATGAATAATTAACGAACACGAATTAGCACGTTTAATTATTAATGCGGTGAAATTTAATTTGAAAGCGTTATCAGCTTACGATTAATAATGCCGTACTGTGTCTGCGCACTGGCGCTCACTGTTATTCGAGAAAACTCCATCAAACGCCAAAGAAAAACTAGAGGCACGACAAATTTATTATTAATTATTGAGCGAATCAACAATTCACGTCCCAGACGTTTCCAACCGTCAACGCGAGAGCCATATTGATTGCCATTCGCTATAGAAGAACTTTAATCCGAATAGACGACGGCCGGTTTCATAATAAAAAAATCAGTGTGAACTAAGATGAAAATTTTCAGCGTAACATATAAATGTCTACATATTGACTCTAACCACATTGATCTGCTGATATAACCTTACCGATGCGTTTATGCAGCATTTCTCTGAATGGCCTGCATTTGACATCGCGTGTCTAACGCGTTTACCGAGGGTTTGGAGAATGGGCGGCTCAGTGCACAGCAGCAGCATCAGGGTGGTCGTACCCTAAAGTGTTTGTTACAACCCTTCCCCTCCGCCCCACACGACCACTACCACTCAAGCATACTACCAGGAGTGAATATAATGACATATTTTTCATTATTCACTTCTGGTACTACTGTACGCGTTCCTTCCCACCGCATCTGCGGAATTGAACGCCACCGGAAGTACCGTCAGTCGCTGGGGCGGGGCAGGCGGTGGGAGCAATCCATTCAAAGCCGTTCAGCTACGTGACAACATGCTTTGTACGGTCCGTGTCTTCGTGATCAATAGCCGTGACGTCGGACAATGGCGTGCACGACAATGTACTCAGACGAGCCCCTTACGGAGCTATACGCGTACACGTGAAAAGGTCCACGGTGCACGGAGCCGTGTGCATGCATGCCCAACCCTGGGTACCGTAGCATACGCGCCCCTATACGGGATTGTTACGTTCGGCTAGATATCACCTTGGATGCGAACCACAGTGCTTGGAAAAAAACTCGCATGTGTGTGTAGACGGTAGGATGGGCGTATGCAGGAAAACGACGATAAAAAAGGGTGATGGGACGACGATAAAGGACCTGGAGACGGAAACAGACGAGTAATGCAGCACTAACCTAGCTGTACGTGACAGCGTGGCGCTGTAGAACTCCTCCTTACGATTGCCTATAGAGCTAAGAGAGCATATATATATATATATATATATATGGGAGTGTATTGTGTGCATGGGTGTGTTTGTGCGCGCGCGTGCGTGCGTGTGTGTACGTGTGCTAGCCATGTGTGCACAACGTCTAGCCAATCAGCGCCAATCACGTATAAATAAAACAAACAAAATAAAAATAAATCATAAATAATATAATAAATCAGTCTAGTGGTGATAGCAATGCGCGGGATCGTCTAATATCTGCCGAAAGTCAATCCTAGCTCGTCAAAACTCGCTAAGTCATTCACGAAGGCTTAGCTGTCGTCAGTCCTGTGACAGACGCGACGAATGTAAAATAAGGACTTTTAGCACACTCTAGACTAGAAAGAAGAATAAGAAGAAAAAGAGCTAGAACATGAAAAAGAAGAAAATGAAGAAGAAGAAGAAGAAGAAGAAGCAGAAGAAGAAGAAAAAGAAAAAGATGGAAAAATTATGAAGATGGTGAGAAGGGTAGGAAGAGGAAAAAGAGGAGGAGGGGAGGAACCGGAAGAAGAGGAGACGGCGAAGAAAGGGGAGGAAGAAGAGGAAGAGAATGCGGATGACGACGAAGAAGAATAAGTAGAAGACGTTAGCATTCCGGCACCCGCGCTAGTTTAATTCACTGCTGTGTTTTTTAACTTTATACTCGTACACGCCCGGAACTCGCCTGGAAGGTTCCTGATTGCTGATCCAACAATCGGCTACGAGCTCAAACGCTAAATGAACTAGCTATTAAAGTAATTGCACTGCTCGTGTTGTCTATCAATTATAGAATGTTTAGACGCTAAATTATTCACGTGCCTCTGGGATTGATTGCTAACTTAACCGTATGGTTCAATCAGTATGTTTTACGCGGAGAAGGAGGCGAGAGTCAGACCTGAGCATTGCATGAAGGATTAGCGGCGATTCTCAACAGTCATAAAGGCCAACTAGGCCGACAAATGATATTCGCAAGGGCGGCTTCAGAAATGAAAAAGGTCCATTTACATCGAAGAATTTACCGATATCAAATATGTCAATGGCAGGGCGGATATAACTACATGATTTACATGATGTATAAGTCGCGGTTAATAATAATGTAGTAATGGAGTTAGGAGGGAGGAAAAATTGGAAAGAAATGGCAACTATACGTATTAGAAACAATCGATTTTACGCAAACCTATTGAGAGATCAATAGCCATAGCCAATGCGCGTTTCTACATTGGATTTTCTTCTCTTCTCACCCCTCGTTCTATATCTTTCATGCACACTGGGGTTATGCACTCACTCGCTCTTCTCTCTCTCTCTCTTTCTCGCTCTCTCTCCTCTCTCTCTCTCTCCGCCTCTCTCTTCTCTCTCTCGCTTTCTCTCTCTCTCTCTCTCTCTCTCTCTCTCTCTCTCTCTCTTGTATAATTGCTCTTATAATATAACCTCTCTTCTTTTCACGCCTTACCCATTCGTTCTCTCTGGTGTTCGCGTCCTCCCGCACTCTCTTCCGTTTCGCACTCGCTATTGAAGAATGAACTAAGAGTAGACCAAACACGCGCGGACTGTATGTTGGTTTCTAATCCTGCTCGTCCTATCTATCTACTGAACGTGCACGCACGCGCACGCACATTCGTACACGCACGCGCGCACGCTGCATGAGAGTCAATGCAAGTTGTGATATTCTTCACCCTTTACAGCTAAATACATTAAACAATATAAATACAGTAACGTATATAAATACGACAGCACGGCTCAATGTTTTGACTACGCAAACTGCATGCATGGATATATATAATATATATATATAGGCTATACGTAGAAATGCGTGTACTTACGCCGATTTGTCCGACATGATGGCTGTTTACTGGAGAAGAACCAAGATCAGTTAGGTCTGGCCGCAGGACGCAGGATGAGACCTTCGGTCAGGGAGGCTAGGCCTTTTATAGCGGGCATAGTCGGCGTACACCGCGGAGACGCGGGGACTAATGGACCGACGAGTTTAAACAGAAAAAGTCGTACGAAGTCGAAGGGCGGCTTGTTTGTTAGATATACCTGGCGTGTAAATACGCGCGCGGACAGACCACTGCTGCGAAGACGCGGGGTGGTCGAAGCAACGCCCCCCACACCCCCACACACTTACTATCAACCATGCCGTAAGATGAAATGAGGTCATTTGGTCGTGATGACTGACGGCGCCGTGTGTGTGTGAGCCATTATACCAGCCCAAAAACTTATTAATCAATACATTTTACTTGAAATATAGATGAGTATATATAATATTTTAGTATAATAGAAGACATTTTGCCTATATATATATATATATACTATTAAAAGTTAATTGTTGTTTATCAATACACTACGCTCACGTATGTTATAAGAACGTTTAGCATACGAGCTTCTATTGCTTAATTAATTATAAGTCCTACATTATCGCGATTTGTTTAGCCGATAAGAAAATTTACGGTTTATATACACGTCGTAAATGAGTTACTACGCCCCCACAAGCGTGCACGTCTACACGAAATTATAAGCGCCCGCCTCACATACACACGGACCACGCACAGTATACCTAGCTGGTACATACATTAACACACACGCGCGCGCACGCCACACACACACACACACACACACACACACACACACACACACACACACACACACACACCACACACACACACACACACACATGCGCGCGCCCGCGCATGTACGCCACACACCACACATACATATACACCCACACCCAACACGCTGCAAAGTACACACACCACGCCACACATATACATATACGCGTAATAAATGTGGTGATATCATAGCAGTGACACATATTGCTTCATAAAGCATGATGAAGGCGTAGATACACATTCACTCGTCACACGCTAACTAAATAACGCCGGCTTCGATCAACACTGTTGAACACATCATATATATCTCAGCTAAAATCGCCCGTACTTTTCCACAAACCAGATGAGACGGGATACTAGTGCGGTATTGAGTACATATGCCAACGAATTAGATCAGAGAGTCTATAGATTAATCTCTAAGATGCCACTAGTTGACTAGACGATGATGACAATAAAAAAAAACGCCAATTCAATAGCAAACAGTAACAAAATTAAGCGCCTTAAACAACTACATATATAGTGTACGTCGGTGTTGGTATTCCGTCATTACATAATATATATATAACTATATATATACTATATTATATATATATATATATATATATGCACATTTAATATATAAATAAATAAATAAATTTATTTATTTATTTATTTATACAAGGTACGGCTTGCGTGAAAGTATAATTCATAAATAAACTTCTGCATGGTAAGCCCGCTTGACTGAATGTAACTACATGGAAATTATTACATATTCTATGAATCTTTAATTCTACATATACTCACGCAGCATCTGGCTGGTCCCCCATTTCGAGGCGTTGACAGCTTGACAGCTTACACCGGTGTAGTCGACGCGGCGTGACTGGAAACTAGCACTGATGACTCTGTGCAAAATATAGAGGATATGGATACGCGGATGTACAGGGACGCACTTCCTCCGTATCTATACGTAGTACTATATTCGTGTTGGGTGTGTTTCTAAAACGCTTTCTTATAGTTCTCTCTCTCTCTCTTTCTCTCTCTCTCTCTCTCTCTCTCTCTCTCTCTCTCTCTCTCTCTCTCTATATATATATATATATATATATATATATATATATATAATGTCAGGAGTTAATAATGACAAATGATAATAACTAATAAACTGATAATGACTCCTGATAATATATATATATTATCTACAAATATGGAAGAAAACACACGATTATAGAAAGCTCCTATATATATATATACTTTTAATTAAGCTGTGGGTATAAGAGACATATCGCTGGTAACCCGCTTGTTTTTGACGCCGAAAAAAGACGGGGCTGCGCGGTAAAGTGTTAATGAGCGAAATGTGAATTTGCAGCGTTTCTACTTACCTTGCTTCAGCTTCAGCGGTGTCGTGATCAAGGGCAGGTGTGATGGATGATACACTGAGTACGATTCAATCACCACATGAAGCCTTAGAATGCTGTTATGCTTGTGGCGACGCCTGGCGATTGGAAATCTGCGACGACGGATAAAAACACGCATATTTTCTAGGCTCACATGAAGCATACTTCTGCAGAGTTTTAATTATTAATAAAATTGCTTTGATCATGAATAAAATATATCGACCGAGGGATGCTTACGCACTGAGCCGATGCATTTCTTAAAATACTGTAGAAATGGCGACTCTCTGGTAGGTTCATTACAGGCTTCGTGATACAGAAACGTATACACTAATTTGTACTAAATAAATGGGTATTGTTTGAATTGTGCTTTCCTTTTTTGTTTTCTTCTTCTATGATGAGCACCCGACCTTATGTAGGAAGTCTGAGTTCCTGCAGTGAAACACGTATTAAGCAGGCTAGGGGGTCGTGTGCACAACAATAGACGGACGCATCGCACGGCTTCATAAAAATTCGGAATTTAATATTAACGCGCCGATAATTCACCGAATTAAAATTAAGTTAAATGACGGTCCTAATTAAAGCAGTTCTTTCTACTTCCACTTAAAGTGATTACGTCACCGTAAATAGTAAAAAATAAAAAAAACATTTCCACATTTTCACAAAATATAAGTAATTCTGGTTCACTTTTTATGGTTTAATTGCTGCATTATACTTCCTATTTTACTATATTTTTCGATGTGAACATATACACTCGTGACTCATACATAGCCCATAGCAAGCAATTAATGTTGGGAACATAAATTGAAATCGTCCAGGTTTTTCGGATTTTTAACTAGTTGAGAAACAATCTTATCAGGTAAGAATTTGACGATTTGTTTAGTCCCGTTAGTTTACAAACCCGTTAGTTTACAATTTTTTTTTACAAATTTTACCATAGAAAATTCGTGACGTAGTCCCTTTAATTTTAATATAAACTTACACTTATTCTGACGGAAACGTGATAGAGACGAATGTTCACAAAATCTCGTTATTAATTTTTATTAATTTATGTGTTTGTTTATTTATTTACTCATTTATTTAATGGTAGTAGATGAGTGAAATTTAGATAAATGAGTACACACCACCTGGGTGACTTTTACCCGGTAGTAAACTATTCTACACTGGCACCGCCTAGACCGTGTATAAGTGTATTTTTTACCTGGGATGTTGGGAATGCTTCACCCTGTTCCCCTCCTGTTATTTGGATAACGATTCCGATGACCGAATATAATATATTGTAATTATATTGGCCTTTGCTCTTATGCGGATCAGTAATCGCGTTGATTATTTACAAAGATGATCACTAGATGGCAAAACGTGCACTTTTCCCACAATTCACAGCGATATAAGAACATGTTTTGAATGTAAATACCAACATAGAACGCTGTTCAAACATGATGAAATGCGAATGTACTAGTACTTTTAGTAGCATTTGATTTAAATAATTATTGGAGCATTGCGTAGTTGCTAGGTCTCCAATAATTTGATGATGAAGTAAGTGTGAGGTTTTATAATATGTAACATGTATACGTGATAGTACGAAAGCTGGCTGGCCTGCACGGCTGCAGTGCTGTGGCCGTCCGGCGAATCTGGCCGTCCACTCCCTACTACACTACAGCATAGCCAAGCAATGCTCATAGGGTCTATGTCCCCCAGGGTACTGCCGGAACGTACCCTGGGTACGGTCCGGTATACCGGAACGTACCCTGGTAACTATCTGATATGGTTAGGGTTAGGGAGTAGGCGTAGGCGACTCCCTAGACTCGTTGGTGGAGTAGGCGAGGTACGGTCCGGCATATTAGATAGTACCACTACCAGGGTACGTTCCGGCAGTACTTTGGGGGACATAGACCCTCTCAGCCCAAGCAATAAGTCCCTAGTCTAGCTAGAAGACATCCCACAATTCTTCATGTCTACAATACAGTACGCAATGGGTAATACCGTACTCATTTTATTTTCAGTCTTCGATCAAAAGTTTAAGTGTAGGTTTTTTATTTTTTACATCATTCCATACTAAGTATTCCTTCCTAAAATCTAACCTGCGGGTTCTTTCGCCACTCCTGTGCTTCCTTTGTAAACTAGATTAACTTGACTTGTATATTTCCTATTTGCCGCTGTACACTGTATATACACGACTTATGCACAAAATAAACATATTGAATCTTGAATCTTAAGTAATTATCTTCCTTCTTATCTAGTTAAAATTGACAATTTGAAACTTATTTCCTTGGACGTTGTAGTCTAATCTTTACGATGACCCTTTAGGCTAAAAGGCTAACTACCTAGCTTTACCCAAGCTAGGTCACACCCCATGGCTAGCTATAGCCCTGGACGTTTATTCCTTACGGACTGTCCAGTATAGAAGTAGAAGTAGAAATGACAATGTCAATGTTACAACTACAAGGCAGTGACTACAAAGTAATACGGATAGTACTTACCGTAACACGAAACTGTGAACGATCCTTAACGCGAGAGAAGGTTGTGGGTTCTGTTAGGTTACAATATTTTATCCATGTATTTAACGGTTTAGTGCGGTGTATACGTAGCATCCTTAAGTCTTAACACACCTTTATGCAAATTCCGAAGTATATTATATTGTCGGGTGTATCATAAAGCCTAGTAATAGCACTACTAGGCTTGAATGAAATGCATTAGTTTTTAATACTATGAATATTAACAGCAAATACTTATTAAATTAAAGAGGCAGCTGTTGACTATGCATTCTCATTCCAGTTAGAAAAGTGTAATCAGCCAAATGGCATCATTGGAAAAAGAGGCGTCAAAGACTACGATGCCTGATGGTTGGAGCGTCCCACCCATTGTTCCAACATTAACAATGGGCAGCAATGCTGCTGAGTTGCCTCGCCTTGCACGGGAAACTGAGCTTCATAAGATGCTGGCAGATGAGAAGATGCGAAGTGAGCGGCACAAAACCAATTATCAGACCTTGAAAACAGAACATCAAAGGTACATGTACAAGTTATATTTAGATGCCATCTACATTTAGGGCTGAAAATCAGGGGCTTCAACTAATAAAAATATTAAATGCAAATTTGAAAATCTATCAGTGCATTTAGGAGCTGTTAATTTAAAACTGCTAAATATTATTATTTAGACATTGTGGCATTTGACAGTTTGATGATGAATTCTGAACCTGACAAGAACAGATAATTGCTTACTACATTAGTGAATGAGATTGATTTCGATGTTCGTTTATGAGAGTTAAACCATGTCATTGCATGAGTGATATGATTAATGTTACAGATTGCAGAATGAACATGTCCAACTTCAGCATGAAGTAACAAGTAATCTCGAAAAACACAGCAGAGAGGCAGAGGAATCTAAGAGAGAGATCGAAAAACTCAGGAAGAATTTGACTGAGAGCAATGTTGAAAACACTCGGTTAAAAGCTCAGGTATAAACAGATGTACGCTTGTGGATTGTAGCAACTGTGGCAAATTATGGTGGTACATTACATAAACAAAACGTGGTTCACACACGTAGATGTAACACGCATAGCAAAAATATAATAATTTAAAAAACGCATTTTTTCTACGTAATGCACAAGCTGCGTGATACTTTATTGCGACACAAAACGTTTTTTTTTGCAGGCTGTGACACCGGAAAGGCTTGAGCTAATCAAAGGAAACCTGAAGGATGAGCTGGAGGAACCGTACAAGGTGCGATGCTCACAGCTGGAGAAGGAGCAGGATAGGTGGCGCACTGAGTGCAACAAGCTTCGCTACGAATTGTCGTTCCTGAAGTCTGAGTACGAGCATCAGCAGGCTGAACATCAACGAGTCATCGAAGAGGTAATCGCAAAATACATCCAGACATTGCTATGTGCGATTACGGCTTCGGGCTGTGATGCGTATCAGGGTGTTATAATGACAAATGACAATAATTTGTCATTATTAACCCCTGATATGTACATATATGCTAAAGATGAGTTGATTGTTTGTAAGGTCAATGCTTTCAGCAGGGCTCGACCTTGGATCAAGCCATCTTTACTATTTATTTGCTAAGGTCTGACTACCCCCACATTCTACCTAGCTGTGCACAACGGAATAAATTATTAATAAAAAACGCTGTACGAACCAGATTATGGAATGGAACGAATGGAAGACTGCATGTAAGAGTCAGGTACTCCTCCCAGAAAAAGATAATACTCTGCCAGGATGCAGCCCTGAATGTATAAGTTGGATACTTCCCGAATGGGCTAAGACTGCAGGAATGTGCATCTCTGCATATATAAGCATCAGGTTATCCTCCCAGAGCACAGTACTACTATGCAGGAATGTGCGTCTCTGCGCATACGATTCGTGCACTGCTGCCAGAAGAAGATGGTGTCATCACGTTGTTTTTCCTGCAGATGAAGATGCGTCACGGTGCGGAGGTAGGCGGCCTGCGTAAGGACAGGGAGGCGTGGACGTCACGGCGGTCGGTCGACACAAGCCACGACGCGCAGCGCGTGCGAACTCTCCAGCGTGACAATGCCCAACTACATCTGAAGGTCAAAGGTCAGTAACCACGCGTGCCGGCTGCCGAGGATAATGCGAGATCATATTCGGTTGCTTCTGCGGCTGTTACTCTGGGACAGGATGGTTACTAGGGATAATAATCGAGACACACAAGTTACGGGTGGCTCTGCTGAGAGTTATAATGCCTGAAGGCAGAGTTAATAGTATTCATTTACCTTGATGCTGTCAGCAAGTGGGTTGAATGTACGAGCAGCTTTGCTCATTCTAAGTCATGGGTAATGTCAGCCGAAGTATTTTTTGTCCCATACCGTATGTGTTTGTTACCGTAGGATTACTGACGGAGTTGGAAGAGATAAATGCACAGCGTGAGCACATGGGACTACAGTCTAGCCATGTTGCTAGGTTGCAGGTGAGCCAAACAACAATATTGATATCTTGTTTATATGTACGATCTATTCTTACCACTCCTGACCAGGTTTTAATGCTGAATATAACCGAGTATTATCAGTTTGGCTAGCTGTAATAATTTATTTGACATACTTTTCAAAGATTTTGGTCAAAATTGGTTATCCATGTATGCTACATTATAAGTCGCAGTAGTTGGGAATGTTACATATCATCTATAATTGCTTGTGCTTGTGCAAGGATATGTTAATGGCGTGAAAATATCTATACTAGTATGTATCTACTAGTATATACATATAGCATACATATATGATCTTGCTAATAGTGTATGAGAAGCACTAACGCTCATAATGGATTCTCTATCATCGGTGTACTTTTCCAGGCGAAGCAAGTATCAGAGTACATTGGCAATATCAAGACCCTGCAGACAGAGAAGGAATCCCTGCAGATGCACGTCGAACGGCTACAGGCAGAGGTCGCCTCTGTACACGAAACACACGAGCAGCTACATACGAAGGTATCCGTGCTAGCCTAGCTCGATCAGCATGTGAACACATGAATTCATTCAGACCAGCCACATTTCTACCGATCAGAGATGATCATTTATATTTACACGACGACCGATAGGTGAACACTGAATTACAGAATGCATTCGTGAAATAACGGTGCTGGTGTATTATCTGACCCTGTTATATGTGTTTATCCTGTTTTATGTGTTTACCTTGTATATACTGTGGCAGTTGCACGAGTTGGAAAAGGAGCTGGCAAACACAAGACATAGGCTGGAGCAACTAGAGCACGATAGCAAGCTAGAGGTGGCAAACCTGCGCATGGAGAACCTGAGGCAGCAAGGAAGCCTACAGACCGAGTGTGATGCTCTTTCCAACAATCTAGAAGGTGTGCAAGCTTGTCTGCACGAAGGCTTGCGTTCGCTCGTGTGGACGTAACTGCCTCTCAAATACGTGACTGAACCTAAGTCTGCCGATTGTGGTAGTAATTATGAAAAATGTTTTTTTCGTTCGTAATTCGTCATTCCGTGGCTTTATGTGCCTAGAGCAGATTTCATTCAGCTATTCTTAAATTTCACCCGCAGGCGTGACAGGAGAACTGGATGTTGCCCGACAATCGCTGGCAATGCAGAAGCAGCAGCTAGTGGAGAAGGAGAGGGAGGCTGAGAGAAGGGTGCAGGCCACTCAGGAGGAGAGCTGGAGCAAGGTTGCACAGCTGGAGAATGACAAGTATGAGGATAACATCTCGCCCCTGTGTGTTTGCGTGTGCTTACTGGTGCTCGTAGGGTCTATGTCCCCCTGACCTCTGTTTGACCTGGCTCGTTTAGCTATTTCTGACTAACACTAACCCTAACCCTAACCCTATATATATTATATATTATATATATATATATATATTAGTCAGAAATAGCTAAACGAGCCAGGTCAAACAGAGGTCAGGGGGACATAGACCTTATCTGCCTTACTGGTCTTCCCCTCTTCATTCCTAGAGGAATGAAAACGTTGAACCATATTTACACACAGCAATTATATAACAGTTATATACTTTGCAATGTACATTGCCAACATGGCGTCAGAATTTTTCACCAAAGTCCTAACAACTAACCCAGTGAAACGACGACCTAAAGTGCTGACCACCTTTTTGCCAAAAATCTGAATACATAGTAATTAGAATATTGCATAGATCTGCATCACTCACTAATACTTCTATTCGCTGACGCGTCATCTATGCGTAAAATCTCACATGGAAACCACCTTTTAGAAATGCTGTATGTGTAATGTGTAGTAACAGTATGATTGTAACACTGTGGGTTACACTTGCAGGTTGGACCTTGAGAGCAAGTTGCAGGAGGCTGAGAGGAGGAGGGTCGATGCTAGCCAGACAGCCTCTTCCTCACATGATAAGGCAGAGAAGCTTGAGGAGCAGTACCGCAGGGAGAGGCAGCAGCAGGAGAAGGAATGCTCAGCATTGAGGTGTGGTCACATTGCGAGGGGAGAGCGTGAGAGGATGTGGAGGGTGAACGTTATAAAGGTTTCACCCTCTACGTTGTAAGATGGGGAACTCTTACCATGGCATGTCCTGCATGAACACATTATTGCTGTAAACATTTCATCCAATAATTTTACTGAACATCAGAAGTCCTCTCTCTCTGTGCGATAAATTCTTAGACAACATGAGTAAGAATCTACTTACTTAAAAAATCATCTACTGATTCAGCAAATGCTTGTTGTTTTGTAGTGAATGTTTTTCTATCTAGACTAACTACACTGTGTATGCCTTTTATAGTGTACCACTGGCTGACCCATCTCTGTGTGTTCCTAGCTTTGCTCACATTCACACGCGCCTCTGCGGCCTGGCACACACCCGCATTATCTGTTTTGCATTTGCAGGGATCGAGAGAAGCGGCTCCAGCTATCGATTTCCAAACTGGAGCAGGAAATAAGAGACCACCAGGGGGCGCAGCATCGGATCACGCAGCTGGAGACGGAACTGCGAGACCTTCACACATCCGAGGATGACCTTGCAGCGGCCAACAGGACCCTCAAGGGCACCATCGCCCGACTCAACGCCGAATTGAAGTCGGCTGCGGAGGAGGTCATGCGAATTAGGGACACTGCTGAGCAGGTGAGGCTGGTATGAGTTCAACCTTTAGCTTATAATGAATTATAATGAGTTCAACCTTTAGCGTTGCTGAATGGTAGAGTGGTCGCCTCGCATGCAGAAGGTCGGGGGTTCGACTCCCGGCCGGGTCTTACCAAAGACTTGAAAAATGATAAACACTGCTTCTCTGCTTAGCTCTCTCCACAAATAGAGATAGAGTGTGGAGAGTTAACTCACAGTGCTACCAGTTAACTAACCCCTTACTGTAGTATTTACTGTGAAAGCAGCTGCATGGCCTCGGCTTAAGGAAACGGAGATAGGCACCGCTCTATGCGCCACATAGGCACAGGAAGGGATTTAATCTTTAAAAATAATTTTTTAAATTCTCCACCCTGTCTTCCTCTTTCTGTCTTGCTCGCTCTCTCTTTCATATTTTTCCGCCTCTTTCTCTGTGTGTGTTTGGTGTGCATAGGGAGTGTCACACACTCTCTGTTACTTACTGCAGGCTGCACGGCAGCATCACGCGGGCTGGGAGGCCGAGAAGGGGGAGTGGCGCAAGAGGGTGGAAGATCTGGAGTCACAGATATCACAGCTGCACGAACGCTACAACTCGCTAACGTCCGAGAATAAGCAGGTAAGATACCTCGCTGCGCCGTGTGTCGGCTGTTAACACGGAATCGCTGTGTCGCGAGGGTAGATGCGAATCGAACCGACCGAACGGCCAGTCGTCTCTGGTTTCTTGAAATATGTGTCGGAACAGAAGGACAGAGATTTTTGGTTAGGTTACTGTAGGTTATGGTGGGTGTGGATGGTATTGGGTTCAATTGACTTATCCATCTCGAGTGATTGAGAGCATATCGGCATTGTGGTCGATTCGAAAAATAGCGTTTAGTAATGAAGTTAGTGCAGCAAAGTTGACAATTTGATGTGCATGCATTAAAACTATATCCAAACTGGTCTAGCTTGATAGATCTAGCAAATATCTAGAAGGAGCGTATGGCTATCTTGCTCATACAGCTGGCGTCACTGTATTAACGTGATTAAAGTAGTGAGCTTGCATGGTGTTGCAATTTACTCTCACACGTCAGTCAAGCTAGACTAATTTGTATGTTTTTGACATGTACCCACCATATTGTAGACTTTGCAGCACTTTCTTATTAAAAGCAGCATTTTCAGATTCGACCTAACGCAATACTTATTGGCTAGAGCTACCGATCAACCACTCCAGGCAGATATATATAAAAAGGAGGCGAGGATCTGCATCAATTGATTCACTCTCTCACTCGACATAATTTTTGTTGTTTCCTGCTCACAGAAGAAGAAGAAATACGTGAAGCTGGTGAAACACCTGCGTGAGAAACTGGAGCTGGTAGAGGCGAAGAAGGAGGAGCTAGAGATTCACAACAGCGCCCTCAAGTGAGCATTATCCACATGCCCTGATTAGATAGCCATATTTTAGATTATTTACATTTACATTTAAATTTGTATATATATTTATATTTATATTTGTATTTATTTTTCCATTTCTATTTCTATTTTTATTTGTATTTATATTTACATTTACCTTAATATTTATGCTAATGCTTATTTTTATGTTTTTATTAATATTAATTACAATACTAATATTTATATTTAGACCTTATTGATCATAATGCGGTCGACTGAGTAGTGGTGTGTAGGTAGGTTACCACGTGTGTGAATAGACCAGGGGTTCTTAAGCTGTGGTCTACGGACCCTAAATGGGGTTCGTGGATGGGTTTCACGGCGTCCATGAACCAGGCGCATGCAAAATTCTGTGTCTATGTGCTTCTGTGCATTTTTCTGGGGAGGGGTCCGTGGCTTTCACCAGATTCTCAAAGGGGTCCATGACTGAAAAAAAAGATTAAGAACCACTGGAATAGATCGTGGATAACATGCGGGGTTGTCTTCTTCGTGCAGACAGAGCGTCCCTCAGGAGGAGCATCTGCATGTGAAGAAGCAGCTGCGAGACATCCAACGTCGCCACGGAGAATTTCGCGGAATCTTGCTCTCGTCCTTGCCGCTCGGCGACCAAACGTTTGTTCCGTTTGTCACCGACCTTGAAGCTCCGTTACACAGCTTCAGCCAGCAGGTGCGCACGCGTGCGAGCGATCGATGCAACCCACTTACGGAAAGCCGTGTCGAAGATGTTAATCTAAGAGTTTTAGTTTCGAATAAAAATTTTGATTTTTTATGATATTATAGACGTGAAGGTTACATTTTCGAATCAATTTTTTCTCATGTGATTCAAACGTGTGCAAGATAGACTAGTCACGTTGCAGCTTGTTTAGATATTACCCCCTTTGCTCCCTTCTATTTTTCGATATCGGGTTCATAGTTTATAGGCCAATGCTAATTCAGCTTCTCTGTTAGGAGCAGCAGCATCAGCAAGACCTTGACATTCTACAGCAGAGGTTGGATGCTGTGGAGGAGGCTCAACATGTGCAGGTACGAACCGCGGCACGTCGCTGCCTTAATTATATCCTCTATACGCATACATGATCCTAATCACGGAAGTGATTGGTTTATGGAGCTTATGACTCGGAATTTGTGTTTCGCGTCTAGCCATTGCTCATCGCGAGCTCTACTGTGTGAACCCAAGGAGCTAAATATAACAAGGAGAGGAAGCGCTGCCATATCTGGCCCAAATTTGGGGTTTGGCAGAGACCCTAGAACAGATTAATTCGTGTTCTATTGTCTCTGGGTTCGGTCTGCATAGCCGTTTCAGCTGATTATGGTCCATAGATGGCGCCCTTGAAGCAAAAAGTGCACAGCCAATCCGCTTCCTCTCTTGGTTATATTTAGCTCCTTGGTTTATGTAAGCTCATCACTATTGGTCCGTATTTTACATGATTTCCAGCCCATACACACATCCCTTGAGTGAGCGATGCACATATAGGCAGTGACGGTTTTAAAACGACTGGAGCGACTAAAACTTATTTATATTGTTTAATATATATAATCTTATCGTAGCCCAAGTATGTATTAGATAAAAAATTTAACTTAAAGGGAGCGTTTACTCTAGGTTCTAGGGTTATTTTCAGCTAATTTAGGTTATAATTACGCTACATAAAAAGTTTCATGGTTCAATCACCATTAGAAATATTATTAAAAAATGTTTTAAAACTAACGACTACAGTTTGATTACAACGACGGTGGCGCCACTCAAAGCGCCCAATCTGATAAGTTGCATAAAACTACTTTCCAGCCAAGGGCTACAGACCGAGGGTGTTTCTTATTTATTTATTTAAAAGCAAAAGGATTGTAATATCTTATAAACGACATATAGTTTCAGTTATAATATGGATAAATTTGCCCTAAAATTAATATCGTTCGGTTAAATAGCATTTAGGTATAAATATAATTGCACTTGTGATTAGCCCTCAGTCTGTAACCTGCAAAATAAATTGTCAAATACGCAACTTTTTCGGGGTGGCAGCACGGTCGCGGGTGTCATGGCGCCGTTCAAATTTCGTAGCGTTGATGTGTAAATAATTATAACAATTAAATTAGGTATCTGGTAACAAATGTGTGGGTATAGACGATTTGTTATACAGTAAGTACAGTTGTATGCAGTAAAATCCTAGAGGCTACTATCCCTTTAAATAATTTTTTCTTCTTCTGATGACATGTCATGTCATTGCAGGCCAAACAGTTGCGAGTGGATGGAATCTTGGCAAGTGCCACGAGCAAGCTACCAGCAGATAGCCAGCCTGTGGATGACAGCAAGGAAGATACTGACGAGTCTATTGAGGGATCGTCATGACACACGTCTCGGTCGCAAACGCACGATTAAACAAATACTCTCCAACGATAATTATTGCTACCGGCTGCTATAGACTGGCAAGCAATCATGTTATTTCCTCAAGGGCTGCGGGTGGGTATTATTTTTTGAGGTACGTTATGTGAGTACGAACTTTGGTTTTCCTTATCAACTAATAAGGGGCGATCACTGTTCCGACTGTGCTAATGTTCTAGTGTAATTGACGTGGGCGTAAAGAATGTGTTCTGGTAGTTAATATCAAAGTATAAAGTATTTACTACCTTTTTATTACCTGTGAATCATATCTTGAAATGCAGGTACATCTCAATTTACTGCATCTATGGCCCAGGTGCATATTTAATATAGCATATATCTGAATGAATTGTACGCAGAAAAATTGTATGTATACATGTTGTATTTCTGGTTCCCTGCCCCATCAGTAGGCAGTGTCAACTTTTTGTACGGTAGAGTGGAGATCTTAATTTTTATATGCATGCAAAATAAACCTACTGTCTTCCTACCTAAAATTTTCTTCAGTTATTAATTTTAATTTGTGCAGAAACGATGGTTTCCCTCCTACATGGTTCCCACACAAGGGCGAATTATTTTTTCAAGGACATTTCAAGGACATGTGTTTTTTCAAGGACAATCTGTGACAAGTAGTTTTACCTTTTTAGAGTCATCATATATACTTTAGATTCATTCATAAAGTAAAAATAGTTGTTTTACACGAGTGCCGACAGCAGATAGTCACGTAGACAATAGTCGTTTAATATAGTCCTTCACGTAGATTCATATCCCAGTCATGTAACATGTAACACTCTGAACTATGTATCATACAATGTACTGTATCACTCAGAAATTTTATTATTTTAACTGCTATATGCTACACCACTTGCATTCATTAGATTTTTTCTCCATGAAAAAGACGTCTTCAGTACATGTATTTGTATTTGAATTACATGCAATAAAGACATAATAATAATAATAATAATAATGATAATAAACAAAACAGTTGCCGGTTCTTTATGCTGACCTTTCATCTGCTGTGTCAGGCAGTAACATTAACAGTGAATAAAAGTAATCACTTATTCCTTACTCCCCTCTCGCGGATGGTTTCGCCCACGACCAGTCAAGCATGGAAAAACTTTTGCAGGTAAATAGCCGTATTTCAGCCGAAACTTTTTCACACCCCGAGGCACAAAATGTGAATTTACGCCTATAATACACGCGCACGCGTGCGTGCGACTATACCTGCGTGTGCGCGTCCGTTAGTGTTTGTGTATGTGTCTTTGTGTGACTGTAAAAACGCGTATTATAGCCGTATAATCATATTTTATGCTTTTGGGGGTGAAAAAGTCGAGGCTGAAAACCGGCCATTTGCCCAGCCAGGCGCGTAGCCAGGATTTTATTTTGGGGGGGGCGGCAATGCATGAGCACGTGAAGTGTGCGAATCA